CAACAGTGTCATGGGAAATGGGGGGAGTGGTGAGGGGCTGACACCCAGCTATTGACCCAGGAGTTCATGTAGGATCATGTTAACCTTGATGGACACCTCAGTTAATACCCCAAAACTAGTGTTCTTTACTTCATGACACTCAAGCTTTAGTCTTCCAGTGTTTTCAGCCAGGGTTGCTGCTGGTACTAAAGGCTCCCAGGATCAGGCTCCTGTCAGGACCTGGCCAGTTGCACCAGCAAAAGGAGCAAACCACAGCTCTCAGGGCTGGGCCAGTGCCCGGGTGGCCTTTGGAGAGGGGTCAGTAGCCAGGCTGAGGGCAGGGCTGCTCTGTGCTGCCCTGCTGAGCCAGCCTGGGTGGTCACACCCACAAGTGCAGGATCCTGCCCACGCTCTCGACTGCTGGCTCCCCACAGCATGGCTATATTTAAAATGGGAAAGGGTTTTTTTCCACCTCTATTTTTAGTTTTTCTCATGTCCTAGCAAATACACAAGCAGAAAGAGTGGGTTATGAGAGGACATCACCTCTGAGGCAGAGCCAGGTGCTGGGCATTACATGAAAGGCTCCAGGAGAACCCAACTGCCTGTCTCTGTTGATGGTCACGTCTTCAGTGTGAGATTGGACTTTTCCAGTACCTCTTTCTCAAAGCTCATCTTGGTTCCACAAAGGCATTCAGCATTTACAAGGATCTGGTCCTAATTAGCAAGAAGGATGACTCTGAACTCCTCAGACTTCAGGACTGATCTCGCTTATGTTACAGCTCAACAATGTGTTTCATTCCCAGGAGATCCCAAATTAATGTACAGGAGCTCAGCCTGGGTTTTCTCACATCAGAAGATACAAAGATCAAATTTTATGACCTCTAAGTCAGAAGGAAGATCTCCTTTCATGATGCATTAGGAGAAATCAAGCTTTGGATGTGTTAGACTTCTACAGTGCTCCAAAAATGCAAAAATCTGTCAAAAGCCTCACTCTCCTTTCGTACCAGGATGGGCACCAGGGTAGCTGGAGCTCTTGGTGGTGTTTTGAGGTGGGATTAGGGGAAATTAACAGCTTTTAGTGAAAATGGAAAATGAGCCTTTCTCTCTGTTCGTAGGAGGGAAATATTTTACTGCAGCAACAGAGTTTGTGCATTGCCTGAGAAAAGTTTTGTTCAGACAGAATTTTGGTTTTGTTTTATATTACCTGAAGTAAAGAGAAAAGTAAAGATTCCCTGCTGTGGAAATCCACGTCAGCCTCCTCCAGGCATCAGGATGCTCAGAGACCAGAGAAGATTCTGACCCTCAGCAAAGGGCAAAGCCCTGCTCAGTCGTGTGTGGGCTCATGTCACCATGATGGGGGATGCCCAAAGCCAACAGATGGGAGAAACAAACATGACAGAGAAATCCTTCCAGTCCCACTATGGCTTATTCTGGAGCGAGCTGCTGTGTCTGTTGGTCATAAAAGCATCGGTGGGCGTCTCTGCCAGGAGAGTGCTTGAACCCAGTGATTTATCTCTTCTGTTTCCCCCTTCCAATGCTCATTAAAACGGGAATTTGCTGGTGCTGCTGCTGTATCCAGCTGAATGTGTGTGCTTCTTGGCTCCCAGCAAGGTCCTCGCTGTAGATACCGTGTGCTTTGGCAGCTGGGCCAGTCTGGGCTGCAGGATATTACGCCTGGCAGGGACACAAACCCCTTCCAGTTCCTGGAATTTGGATTGTCTTGCAGAGTGCTGATTAAGCAGTGCTTTCAATCTGCACCCAAGACCAAACCCTCGCCTTGCCCCTGCACAGAGGCTCGGCTGCTGCGTGGCACTGGGACCTGCAGTGGGTTCTCTCTCCCAGAGCTCCAGGGACACAAAAACTCCAAAAAAAATCCCAGATGAAAAGCTTTGCAGTTCCTGGGGCTGGATGAGCATTTGCTGCTCAGGGCTCTGTCTTTCGTGAAATAATAAATCACCAAAAAACCACCCCCTCCACAACACAGCCCCAGTGCCCTCCCCACCTTGGCATGCACTTGGTGGCAGCTGCACCTCCCAGTTAAGACATTCACTGCTGCATGTCCCCATCTGCCTTTTTAATCTGCTGGGAATGAAACTGCCTTTACCAGCCTCACTAATGAGAGATTTGATAGCTGGGGTTGAGCAGAGGGAGGCAGCCTCAGTGTGTGCCACCCTGTGCAGCACGAAGGGCTGTCCTGGCCCCTGGAGCTGGCACTCCTGTCTGCATTCAGAAACATGAAACAGGGGTGTCAGCAGGACTGGCAAACTGGAGATGGCACTTTGCCCAGCACCTGCAGAGGTGTCTGGTCCTTTGGGGTGGCCTGGTGCTAGAAGGTGAAGCTGAGTTGGTTAGACCCCTATAACAGGCAGCCTGGATAGTTGGAGGGCTCTGAGAGCCATCTTGACACCCCAACGTGCCCAGTGCCAGCATCCACAGCACAGCACAGCCCCCCCGAGCATGTCCAGCCCAGCTGGGTCACAGGGTGCTGCTCTCTGCACTGAGGGATCCCCTCCTGCAGTGCTGCAGCAGGGCCAGAGATGCCTCAGCTGGGCTTTGTCTCCTTGCTGGCACAACTGTCATCCCACCAGCTGGGTGGGGAGTGGATGGAAATATCCCCCCAGCACATGTCTCAGTGTGGGCCCCAGGGCCTGAAGCATCTTGAGTTGCTTTATGTGAGAGAGGATGCCAGGAAAAATATACAGAGGGGGCTCTTTCAGCAGAGGCTCCCAGCAGGGTGAGGCTGTATTGATACAGCACGTCAGCTCAGCACCTGGGGGTTATTCCCACTCCATGCTCAGGTCTGCTCCTCCCTGACCTCCTAATCAGCTTCTGTTGCACAGCAGGTCTCTGGGGTGGCTGGGTGCAGCTGGATGGACTCTGGGATGGGCTGTCAGTCACTGCAAAGGCAGGAGTTGTGTGTCTGGGATCCTCGATTCTTGTCCCAGTCAAACCTGTGAGGATGACAAGCAGTGATGGGCTGCTGCTGTGGGACTTTCTCCTGCCCATATTGTCCCAGTGGTGTCACTGTCCTTATCACTGTGCTTGAGCACCAGCTTTTCTCTGGGCATACTCTGGTCTCAACTCCATGCCTCCATCTCCATGCCAGCTCAGGAGAGGGACTTCAGCCTTGGTGCTCCTCTTCATTCAACTGAAGAGCCAAATCCTGGCTCTAAACTGGCCTGTGCTCTGGTGAAACCAGGCCTAGTGAAGTGCAGGGTGAGCACCTTGCTGACCTGAGGCACTGTGGCCCAGGGGGATGATGGCAGCAAGCCCGGCTGCAGCTCACACATGGCTGCCCGTGCTGGCTCTGAGCACACGGGGGGGAAGATGTGATGGGCATTGCAAGCAGCCCCTGCAGCCAAACAGGCATCTTTGTGACCTGCAATAACTCAGTTGGCCCCTGGCATTGTGACTGTGTGGGATGTTGTACGGAAACACACTTGACACCAGAGCATAGTCCACAGCTTTCAGACTGCTGTCCCTCCCTCCCTGGGGACAGATACCCGAACACAGTGCAGGGAGCACAGCCCACTGAGGCTCTTTTCCCCTGAGATGCCCCTGGCTGGGCACTACCAGCCCAGGTCAGTGGTGGGGCCATGGGCAGAGCCCCCGTGGGCTGTGACATGCCCTAGTCCTTGGGGAACAAGCAGGTGGCAGCTCCCAAGCCAGCAAGTGGCTTCACCTCTAACAGAGAGAGCTGCTGGCCCAGGGACACACCTGGTCACCAGGTGCCCTCCCAGCCGTCCCCAGAAAGAGACATCTCTGCCATCTGCTCAGCCTGCACCAAAGTGGGGTGACCCCGGGGCTCCCGGTGAGTGCCAGCCCCGCCGCTGCCCTCCCGGGGCAGAACCCCGCCCGCATCCCTCGCCGGCCTGGAGCCACTTCCCTACTCACGGCTGCCAGCAAGACCCCAGCCTGGGGGGATGAACAGGGCAGACGTGACCCTGGAAATCTCTCCCTTATAAGTGGATTGAACAAAACCCCAGCCAAGAGCGAGGAGCAGCCCCCGTGCCCGCTGGAGCGGCGGGCCGGGCTCTGCCCGCTCCCCCCGGCCCCGTGCGGGGCTCCGTGTGCGCCGAGCCATCCACCAGCCTATAAATCTCCTGGCACGGCTCTTTCCAAACTTCAGGACATTCCCCGGGGGAAGAGTTAAGATGCAGCCTGTGCGTCAGCGGCCGCAGCGGGCTGCCCGCCGGGGCTGAGCCGAACCTCCCGCATCTGCCCCGGCAGGTTGTTCGTGCGGGTCAATCCCAGCGCTCCGCTGCTCCTGGCTCAGTCCTCACGGTACGTAGTCGGGGGAACATCCTCCCCGCTGCTCCGGGAAAGGCTGGCAGGGATGCTCGGAGGTGCATCGGCTGACGGATGAGGGCATATTCCAGCGTTTTCCTTCCTTTTTTTTTTTCTTTTTTTTTTTCCTAATTTTTCTGCTTTTGCCGTGGTTATTTTTCTTTTCCCGAGATAAAAGAGTCGTTAGGATTTCTCGACGACGGTTTTAAATCTTGCCGTGCGTTTCTTTATCTATGTGAGATTTCTGTTTGTGCCGGGGATTTATTCAACACACCAAATTCCTGGGAAGTTACAGGGCAGGAGGCTGCAGCGAATCTCTCAGCATGCTCCTAATTAGCCCCTGCCCCGCACGTATGTGCCATAAGTGAAAAAATGGGGGAGATTTTTTACTGATTTTACTTTTTTTTTTTTTTTTAAAGAAACAACAAGAAAACCAATCCCCCAGACATATCCCTGATAGTCACAGGGAAACTGCTGTGATAAATAAGGTTATTAAAGAGATTAATTTAAAACATTTATTTTGAAAAGTCCAAAAAAAAAAAAACCAAAAAAAAGAAAAGAAAATTAATTTCCGTCTTATTTTGGGAAGTGGGGCTTGCAATCCTGAGTGGTGCCTGTGTTGTTTTCTCTCCTAGATCCACCCGCCTGCAGCAGGGACCGGCGATCCCCCCTGTCCTTGCTGAACTCCGTGCGGGAGCAGAAAGGCGCTGACGGGTCCCAGCGGGCGGGCTGGCATGGCTGTGCTGCACTGGCACCTGTACCTCAGCGCCCTGGGCTGCTGGGTGACACAGCTCTCCAGCTCCTTCCTGCTGCCCAATGCCACCGAGCTGCTGTCCCCGCCCGGGGGCACGGCCGCGGGGCTGCTGTGGGGCGCGGGGGTCCCCCGGAGCCGTCGGAAGCGATACCTCTCTCCCCACGACATGAGCGTGATTTTGGATTACCACAACCAAGTGCGGGCTCAGGTGTCCCCCCCTGCTGCCAACATGGAGTTCATGGTGAGTCAGGCTCCAGATGGGCAGTTTGGGGTCCAAGGCTGTGGTGGGGTCGAGGGGCTCGCTTTTGGGAGCCCAAACTAGTAGGGATGGAGCATCCACCCCACGGGGATGTTGGGATGCTGAACACCTGTCCCAGGGGGTGTTTCATGTCCCCAGGGCACGGCAGACACATCCAGCCTCTGCACAGGAGGAGTGGAGTTCCAGAGGGAGAGGCTTCCACATGAGGGCAGATTTAGGACCTGTGGTCCTGTGTCTGGGACACCTGGGAGCTTGCTTGCTGTGGGATGGCAGGATCCCTCCAGCTGAGCTGCAGAGGTAGCACTAGGGGAAGGGAGGAGGCTACAAGCATGAGAAGCTCAGGGTCCAACCCAAAGACCAGGTGGGAGCCTCTCCCCTAACTGCAGCTGGGAGGGATGACCGCATTCCAAGCTCCAGGGTCCTTTGGGAGTGTGCCCAGTGATGCCAGCCCCTGGGAGAAGAAAGTGCAGCAGTGGGTCAGAGAGGGGCTTCACACCCTCACAGGGTCAGGGCCCTCCAGACAAGGGTCACCCTGAGCAGAGCTTTTTTCCAAATTGTCTCCACCCTGGTTGAAGCTCCTAACCCAGCTCTCAAGGGAGGAAAAATGGGGAGCCACCAAGAGGAGGGATTTCCAGCCTGCACAGGGTGGGACTCTCGAGGCAGGAGGTGCCATGTGCAGCTCTGCTCCCAGAGAAGTGACTGGAGCTCTGATGGAGCACCTGGGTGGTCCCTGGATGCTGGTTTGGGAGAAGCATGCAGCAGCCTGGTTTGTTTGGTACCAGGTCAGACATGCCCAGGAGCATCCTGTGCTACTTCTTGCTTGGCCTCAATTCCTGCCTTCCAAAATAACTCACAGAGGCATCTCCCCAAAGCAGTTCAGGATGGGTGAGGAAGCTTTAAATAATGCATGAAGGAAGCAGCTGTGCTCACCGGTCAGTCTGTGGCCAGGGCTGCACTGAGGGCTGGGGACAGCTGTGAGGACTGCAGGGTTTCACCCCTGGGTGCAGCTCCACCTTCTTCAGGAGCCCATTCCTGGAGGAAATCACTCACACTTGCATTGCTTCAGGGCATCCCTGCTCTGCCTGGGCAGTGGGCACACAATGTGCCCAGGAGCCGTGGTGGCACCGGGGGAGGCCCATCACCAGACACTCTGCTGTGCTTCCCCTGGGCATTTCCCAGCCTGGATGCATACGTCATATTTTTTGGACACTCATGGGTGCTCAGAAAGCTCACTGAGCACAAGGGAGCAGGTTTCTCCTCTTCCCTCCTCTGGGAAGCCAAGATTCCTGGCTGCCCTTTTCCTTTCCCCTGGCCAGGTGTGGGATGAGCGGCTGGCCAGGGCAGCAGAGGCGTGGGCTGCGCGTTGCCTGTGGGACCACGGGCCCCCTGAGCTGATGAAATATGTGGGGCAGAACCTCTCCATCCAGTCGGGCAGGTGAGTGCCCTGGGGGCAGAGTGAGCTCCTGGGAACCCCCCAGACCCCACAGTGCCAGAGGAGAAGTAGCAGCAGCCCTGTGGTCAAGAAGCAGAGAGGCTCTGAGCTGGGCTTGCACAGGACTGGGATGCAGCTGAGAGGCAGACCAAGCCCCTCTGGGGTGGAAAAGGGTCCAGCTCTTGCAGAAGGGTAAATACAGGAAAGCAGAGGTGCCCCCTGTTCATTTGAGAAGTGGGGCATTACTCCTGTCTCTGCCAGGCACAGGGACCAGGGAGATGTGGGTCCTAAATCTCCACCACGTGGCTGAGAGCTCAGGTACCTCTATGAAGGCCCAGGTCTTCTGGCCTTGGGCACAAGCGGGCTTGGCACAAGGGTGTCATTGCCCCCTTCTACCCCAGGAATGCTTGGTCCTGACAGGCCCTGGCTCCAAACTGTTTCTCTCTCCTCAATGTGGAGCCTTCCCTTCCTCTCCTCCACCCACAGTCTCTGGTGTGGGGGAGGTCCAGCTCACATGGAGCGCCTTTCGCAGGTACCGCTCGGTCACGGACATGGTGAAATCCTGGCACCAGGAGAAGCAGCACTACTCCTTCCCCCACCCCCGGGAGTGCAGCCCCCGCTGCCCCAGCAAGTGCAGCGGCTCCGTCTGCAGCCACTACACACAGGTGAGCCCTGCAGCCCCTGGAACCCAGAGGGGGGCCCTGTGCAGCTCACAGCCCCTCTCCCAGCAGCAGCTGGGATCCAGAATCAAATCCTGGCAGCTGCCAGCTTCAGATCCTGGCAGCTGGCAGCGTGTCTGCTCGTGGCAATGCCTTCCTGTCCTGGAGCCTTGCAGGATTCACGCTGTTGGAGGGAGGTCCCAGGGGCTCACAACCCACTGAAGAGTAGCTGGGACCTTCTGGCCTGTTGACAAGGAGGTTTTCATTATTTTTTTAAAGCCTTTTTTTCCCTGCTTTGACCCTTTTTTCCTTGCAACACCACTGGCAACTCGAAGGTGGTGAGTGAAGAGGAAAAAAAACCCCTTTGTTCGTTTGCCAAGTGTGAACCCTCTCCTCTGTGATGGAGCACAATTACAGCACCCAGCTGTGTTCACCTCTTCGGGAATGCAGCCCCTTCATCCCCTGGCACATCCCCCAACAGCCTGGCCAGCACAAGGTGAAAAACTCCCCTGCTCCTGTGCCCAGTAGCAAAGTTGTACCAAACCCTAATTACCTCCCCTGCACAGCTCCAGCCTTTATCTGAGTGTGTGCATCCCCGTGTGGCTCCTCTGTGGGGGTGCTCAGGGATTCTCGGAGTTGCAAAAGGGCAATATACACTTTTTAATGGAAGAAAGTCAGCCTGGGGAGGCTTTAGGAGGAGCTTCTGTCTCTGCTCAACCTCCCTGTGTGCAGGGTAAGCTGCTGGCCGTGATTCAGGGTGAGGTCTGGGAGCTATTTTGGGTAAATCGGAGAAGTGACCCAGACCCTGCTGCTCACTCGTGTGAGCTTTGGCAAGGCAGCCCCTTGCAGGGCAGTGCAGGCTGCAGGCAGGAGAGGGAGAGCAAAAATTCACCCTCTGGTGACAAAGCACTGCCCATGATGGGACAGCACACAGCCAAGGAGATTCAGGCAGGTGGGCTGTGATGCCCTGGTGGGACAGAGCCCTGTGCTGGGGTCTCGGGGTGATGGTCTGTGGGATGCCTGGGTGGATGGACACCGACAGTGCCTGTTTTCTGTCCTGGAACAGATGGTGTGGGCAACCTCCAGCCGCCTGGGCTGTGCCCTGGGCACCTGTGCCAACGTGCAGGTGTGGGGCAGCACGTGGCGTCACGCCATCCTCCTCGTCTGCAACTACGCCATCAAGTAAGTGCCTGGAGGGAACCCCCTCCCCGTGCCATCCTCCCTCCTCTCGCTGGTGACAAGGAGAGGTGCTGGTGCTCAGAGGTGATGCCCTCCTCTCTTTTTAGGGGCAACTGGCTGGGAGAAGCACCGTACAAGGTGGGGCGGCCGTGCTCAGCCTGCCCCCCCACCTACGGCCGGGGCTGCTCCAACAACATGTGCTTCTCCGGAGTCAAATCCAACCAAGTCAGCTGGTTCTAGGGCTGCAGCCCCAGGAGGAACCCCAGGAATGGGATCAACCAGAATTATTTATAACACTGACCCCCAGCAGCCCGGCTGTCCAACCTGCTTCATCCCCAGTGCCGCATAGGAAACTGCTTTTCTAACCCACCTCTCCAGCAGTGCTCATGTCACCTGGCTGCTTCCCACTTCGGGGGAAGCTAGGTTCCTATTTTCTGAAATATGGAAGGTTTGGGGATGTGGGGAGGGAGTGGGGCTGGCTGGCATGGTCCCTGCTCTGCAGACTCAGGGGGCTTTCCCCACTGCCCCCCTCGGTGCTAAGGCAGAGGCTGGTGTAAGCAAATACCAAGATGTTCCCTCATGGTGAGCAGCTGGAGAAGTGGGGAACCCTGAGCGTGACCCTGCTCCACAACAGCCCTTCCAGCCATGGGGACTCAGCTCTGAGCCCCCAATAAAGCAGCCTGGAGACCCCCATGCTCGTGTCGGTCCTCCCTCACTCACAGGCAGAGCCTCGGGGTTACACCAAGCCAGTGTCTTTGCTCTGGTTTTGGGGGTAAACTGCAAAGTGGTGCAGAAGCCTTGGGTGGGGCCACGGGCTCTGGGCACAGGAGATGCCTGGGTGCTTTGCTCCATCGTGTGGGAGAAGCCAGCACTGCTGGGACACCAGGTGATGGTGATGCTGAAGGGCCACGAACTCCCTGTCCCACCCAGGCCATCCCATGTGATCCTGCTGCCCTACCTCACCCCATTATCCACATTCCCTTCCTCTCTGGAACCTCTCAGCAATCAGAAAACTCAGAGGCCCCCAGATTTCCAGACCTTGGATCTGAGCATGCAGCTGTGGATTCCTATGCCACAGCCCTCTGCATCCTGGCAGCACTCTTCCCACTGCACGCTCCCTTGGGATTTGCTTTTCCATCCAGAGGAGCAGATGTCCCTACGTTTGTCCCCTCAGGGCTGCAGGATTTCAGTAGTTGAGGTGCTGGGGGGTCTGGGACTGATGGGGATCCCTTTGTACCTCCTTCAGCCTGGGCCTGTCCTGAGATGTGCAGGGGATGTGGAAGGCTCTGCACTGCTGGACAATCACTTTTTCTGCTCCAGCTCTGAATTCCCCATATATTTGGTGTCCTCTCAGCAACCCTTCTTGTATGTGGCCCTGCTTGCCTCATGGCAGTCCCCAGGAGCCTGGACTGCTCCTGTCACGGAGCCACTGGTGGCACAGGGGCTGCCACAGCCCCACGGGGAGTTTGGGGACCCCACCCACACATCTGCCAGCATGAGGTCTGGGGTGCTGCGGTCCCAAAGGGAGTATAGATGTCTGTGAGTGGCTGGGGCACCCTGAGAGTCCCTCCAGTTTGGGGAGCAGAGGGAGACAGAGAGGAGCTGCAAACTCCCTGTGCCTGGCCCAGCACTCAGGGTACCACTCTGCATCCCACCACAGCATCCCTGCAGCTCCCCATCCCCAAACAACCCCCCCAGTTCAGCACCAGGCAGACAAGTCCCAACTCATGGCCGGGTCATTTTGCCCCTTGTGCCTCAGCCAGGCTCCACTCTGCCCGTGCCAGCCCCCACACTTGTCCCACAGCCCCTGGCCCACCATGCCATGTTTGCCCTTTGCCACAGGTGGGCTCAGACATGGTTTCCCCACCGTGGGTGGGTGATGGCACAGAACTCGGCAGTGCCTGGGGCGCTTCAGAGTTGGATCCAGACGCTCCATCTCTGTGGCCAGGGGTGAACCCCGGCCCAGCCACTGCCCCGGCCTTGACACTGTCTGCAAACGGGAGCCCCAAAAGAGTCCAGTAAAAGCCATGTTTGAGTTTCTAGCTTGGCAGCAGTTACTATAGCTACAGCAACGGCACCTTGCAGATTGGTTTCCATAAGAGCTTGGTTACTATTTAACATCTCCACCCACATTAGCCCTGATTAAGCGAATCAATAAGATAACAGGAGAGGCAGGTTTCCTCGCCCTGCCTCTCCGCTGCTCCCTCCTGCCTTCACCTAGTTCCTTAGTGAGAGACATTTTTATTTATTTATTTAGATTTCTTTTTTTTTTGTTCCTCTACTTCCTCTGGTTTTTCCACCCCAAGTCCCCATAGCAGTAGCCGGCGAGACATGGTCAATGTAAGCACCCAGCTAAGCGCTAAGATGGAGGCTCCATATGGTGAGTACGGCGTTCCCATCGCCCGCGCTGCCGTCCCGTCGCGGGGACCGGGGCTGCCAGCGGGCAGCAGCCCCCAGCCCCACATCCCAGCCCCGCCACGCTGCCTGGCCCCCACCGGCTCAGGCACCTGCAAAGGCTGGAGATGGAGGCAGGAAAAGGGCTCTGATTGATTTTTTATGCGATGTGAATACATCTGTATACGCGATTTCTCCCTCCCGCTCTACTTGGCCCGAAGAAGAAGGCACGTGCCCAAGCTGGCAGAGGGGCTGCTGGAGGGTTTGCAGCACAAGTGGCAGCAGCTTAGAGGAGGTGATGTGCTGCCTCAGGACATGCAGCCAGCCCCGGTGCTCGGGCTGTGGCACAGCCGGGCTGTGTGAGCGGGCACAGCGGGCACAGCCAGTGCCGAGCTCCCGCCAAGGGCCGGGGCTGGGCCGATGTTACAGCTGGGCAGGTTTCCCAGCAGGGAGTGCAGTACCTGGATGAACAGCAGCCTCCAGCCTCTGTGGTGCAGAGCATCAGGTGGCACGTCGCTGCCCAGGCTCCTGGCCGCAGGGAATGCTCTCCAGGCCTGTGCCTGTGCTCCCTGCATGGCACAGTGGGCACCAGCCCGGAGCAGCCCTGCGCCGCTTTGCTCCTTGGCTGTGCTGGGTGCCAACTGCCAACAAATGCACGTGGGCACCAGGGGACAGGTGCCCCTGCCCGGGCTCACATCAGCCCGCTGTTATCCTCAGGACAGGTCAACTGTGCCTGTGCTGCTGCACAGCAAAGAGCTGGGGCTGGTTTGGTCCTGTGTGATTTGGGAACACCAGTTCCCTGGATGTGGCCAGGATGTGGAGTGAGGCCACAGCAGTTGAGGTCTCACAGTTATGAGGCTCTCCATCACTCTCCATGGCTCTCCATCACATCCTCATGGCTCTCCATCAGTCTCCATGGCTCTCCATCACTTCCTGTGGCTCTCTGTCAGATCCTCATGGCTCTCCATCACTCTCCATGGCTCTCCATCACTTCCTTATGGCCCTCCATGACTTCTCCTGGCTTTCCACCACCTTCCATGGGGCTCTCCATCATACTACCTTGCCTTTCCTCACTCTATTTTTCATGTCCTGCTTCTCTTTTCCTTTACAAACATGTACAGCCCCCCCAGCCCACCTTCCAGCCAGGTGCCAGGAGGGCTTGTGGGACTCCCAGGCCACCTCCTCACACTTTGCTCATGGCCTTACTTTGGGTGGTGGTTTCTCTTGCTCCAGACCTGCAGCCTCCTGTGGGTGCCACCTCCAGACCTAACCCACCCCTGTGGTGGCATCCACACTGCCCTGTGCATCCTTGCCCCAGTCCTCAGCACTTCAGTACTCTGCAGATCACTTTATTTCAGATCACATCTCCCCATGCTGAGCCATGGGCTCATCAGCATTTTGGTGGATCCATGGCCTGTGGCAATAGAAACATGTAGGAACTGCACAGGGTCTGTAGTAGTGTCACTGTGCTGGGCTGGACCAGGCAGCTGTGGTCAAGCAGTTATGAAATGCTGAGTTTTAGCCTGTTTTTATCAGGTTGCTCATTTGTGCATCCCAGGCCCACAGGAGCCAGGTCTCTGGAGGACCTCCGTTCACCCTGGCCTCTGAGCTGCAGGATACAGAAGTGGGACTGGGCCTCACACAAAGCTGGACTCAGAAAAATGCCCAGTTTTTGGTCTGTTCAGTGCAGGTCGTGGCTTTGTGTCCAGCTGGTGCTTCTTGGACAACGTGCAACGAGCCATGTAATTCAGGATGCTTGTGAACTGGTGGAACAAGGGCTTGATGCCTCTGAGATGTGCTGAGTGTCAGATCCTGGAGCAAGGACTGGCCCAGGAGCAGTGAGTGCTGAGCATCCTCCATGCTGAAGCCCCTGCTGCTGGTGGGAGATGGCTCCTGGCCCACCCAGCTTGCTGGGACTGACTTGAGCCTCCTTTGCAAGAGAAGAGGAGGCTCAAGGGCTGTTCCCATCAGCCTGGGAGACAGGGTAGTGCAGGATGGCTGGATCTGGCTGCCCCCACATCCAGGGTGCCTGTGTCCAGCTTTGCCCCAGGGTGCAAAGCCAGCCTCATTTCTGTAGTGAGCAGCCAGCTTTGCCTGACAGAAGCAATGCAAGGAGCTGGACAAGCTCTTTAATCACTTAAGATGAAGTTACTCTGCCCACTTGCATCTGGCTGTAATGGGAGCAGCCTCTTGCCAGCCCTGGAACATCAGGGACCTAAAACACAGGCAAGCAAACATTTCCGATATTATTTTCCTCCTGATTTTTTTTTAAATTTTTTTTTTTCAATCCTGGTTTTCTCCTAATTTTTCAGTCTGAGAGTCAGTGACTGAGCCACATGCTGAGCTTGGGCAAGTGCAGGCATAGCCGGGTGCTGTTGGGTGGATGGGGAGGAATCGCTGCCCATCCCACCCGCGGCCGCTCTCCCATCTGCTCCCGGGGCTGAACAAAGGCTCGGGCCGGCACCGCTGCCTGCGAGCCTGGGGCCGTGCGAGGGGGAGAGAAATAAGAAGTGTAACAAAGCGAGATGGGCCTCCCAGAGCAGAGCGAGAGGAAACTCAGAGTGTTGGCAGAAGGAGGGGAGCCCTCATAAATAAAACGGGTGAAAAAGTTATCCAAATAGAGGCGAGGAAGGGCTGGAGGGACAGGGGACCGGGCAGTGCAACCCCTGGCAGACTGCAGCACTGCAGGGCTGGGATGGGGGTGGGCAGCAGGGTGGGCACAGCAGCCAGGATGCATCATCATGAAGATGGCAAAGTGGTGGCCAAACCCTTCCCAGGGCCACTGGCAGTTTTATTCCCGTGCAGAGCAATGAGGGGGCTCACACAGTGGTGGTGGTGCTGAGTCC